ATATTAGGGCCCCCCCCCCCCCCTTTCATTCATTGTGTCCTGTGTAGCTCTTCAGCTCGGTCAGGATGGGTGACATTTCTGAACACACCTTCAGCAATGTTGTCTAGCAGGTACTATATAAAAAGAAAACGGACTTCTGGGTTCTATAATCCTAAATTTCCTGTCATTTTCATCCTTTTCAGTAAGCAGTGTTAATTTTATGAGAAAAGAATACTGTATGCAGGTATTGTGCTGTATGTAGGCGTTACGAACGTATGAGGGAGAACAATGACAGTACTGGCGAGTAGGAATGGCAATCCTTGATTTAAGTATGAAATGCATTGAATGAACAGTATATTCTTCACTGTAGTCTTTGTGGTTTTGAGGTGTTAGTAAAAGACAGTAAAAAGTCTGATGCAGCAGATGACAAGATGTGAGGTTTTATGACCTATTCTGCTCCGGAAACCTACATCCTGTGTAATCTCGCATACTATCAATAAATATGTAATGTTGTTTAATCATTTACATAGCACCAACGTATTCTGCAGCATTGTACAGAAAACATTGACCCCTTCACATTTAGGCCTCCTTCACACTGCACGCGTATACGCATATTGTACCATATGCAACCTATGCAAATAAATGGCTCCATACACACAGCCGCGTATAGAGCCGTATATTTGCGTAGCGTATATATGCGCAAAAACAGAATGGAACAGAGATGTGTCCGGGCAGCGTATTTCTGCGCGTATACACGTATAGTACATTAAAAATTCCATTACGAGTGATGCATTCTGGGACTGCATATACGCAATATACAATTTTGCGTGCGTTGTGTGTGAATGAGGCCTTAACACTGCCCTTGCAAAGGATATTTATAAGCCAGGAAGTGGACAAATCTGGAATTCAAAAGCCTGTCTAGTCTGTTCATCCAGGAGGCATAAGAATTTTTTTTCTGATGCCAGCTCCATTGACATCTAGAGAAAACCTCGAAAGTTAGGAGCCAACTGTAGATTTTAATGAGCATTGGCTACTGGGATTTGAGCTTTGGCTACCAACCATGTTATGGCTTTTGCTTCGGCTACCAACCTTGCACTCTCGGTCGAGCAATCGGAGCGAATTAAACCAGAAGAGAAATGAAAATCTACTTTATTTGATGGTTTATACAAAGTTATCAGTTTAGTATGTAGACCGTATCCTAAAAATAATATATATTGTCCTTCATTTGTGCAAATGTTTTAATTTTTTTTTGCTTTTCCGCTTCTTCTGAGCGCGTCAGGTCTAGAGCTGCAGCTAACGATTATTTTCAAAATCGATTAGTTAGCCGATTATTAAGTTCGATTAATCGGTTAATCGGATAAACAATAAAATAAAGTTTAAAAAATGGCTCCAGTGATAGGACTACTAGTTTGTATTGAGGTTGTAGTCCATCACAGGAGCAAGCTTGGAGCGGTGGAAGTAAAAAAGAAAAAAGATAGTGTGGTGTGCAATATAGTGAAATGGAAAGTGTAAAATTATACAGCAATGAATGCAGAATGGCACCGGCTATAGAGGACTACAAAACCCAGCAAAAACACATTATACAGCACAATGCAGAATTCGTATTCCGCATTGCGCTGTATAATGTATTATTGCTGGGACTTGTAGTCCTCTATACAGTGCAATGAAGAATATCACCAGCTACAGAGGAGAACAAATCACAGCAATACATTATACATACAGTGTTTAATGTATTGCTGGGATTTGTATTCCTATGTATAATATACAGCACAATGTACCATCAGCTATAGAGAAATACAAATCCCAGCAATACATTATAGAGCACCATGTGTGGGAAAGTGCAGGCTTACCTGAGCAGTCTTCCAGCAACTTGCTTCTAGAAAAAGTTGACAACTTTTTCAATAATCGATTATAATCGATTATGTCGATTAGTTGTTGCAGCCCTAGTCAGGTCTGAACCAGGAAAAGACGCAGCAAAGCTTTCTGTGCTTATGTGAATTGTGAACATGACACAGGTATAGGGGGCAAAAGTTAAACTTCTCATGGTATATACCCCTGTACATTGGAGTTGAGTGCAAAGCTACTTGTGAGCTGACTATATACAGTAATATAGTTAGGGAAAAGGGTACCGAGATTTCAGCAGGTCCTCATTTAGGCCCTGTTTATGACGCACCTTTTATTTCAACAGAAATCTTCCCATAAGAGTGTTTTGTCTATTTTTAATGTATTCTAAGCATGTTGTATACCTGTGGCGGCCTCGTGTAGACCGTCAAAAGCCCTGAGTCTGCTGTATGGTGCTGTCGTCTTAGATGTGATGTCAGACAATTAGCAAAAACTAGAAGAATTAGGGCTTTGAAGGTGTACTAGGGGACATATACTTTAAAACTTACATTTTATTTCTATAGTGTTAACATTGATGTCAATGATGCATTTATATACAACACTGCTGTATAAAAGCAACTAACAAGCCACGTCTGTATTAACGAACGCTGCCACACATACATCCATGCATAAAGTTGTTTGTGTTCATATAAATGTCCACAATAACTCAAGTGCAGGTATTCCATTCACAGCTTACAACTTGGTATATATCTTGTGTTGGAGGAGGCATCATGGAATTTTGAAGCATTTCATCCAAAATAGGGCTTCTTCAGAAGTACAAGGTGGTAAGCACATTGGTCTGATAATTCAGCTGTGCTCACCCCCCAATACAGCGCTGAAATATCAGACCAATGTACTTACCACGTTGTACTTCTGAAGAAGCCCTATTTTAGATGAAATGCTTCAAGATTCCGTAATGCCACCTCCACCCACAAGATGTATACCACGCTGTAAGCTGTGAATGGAATACCTGTACCTAGAAGAGTTATTGTGGACATTTATATGAACACAAACAACTCTATGTATGGATGTATGCGGGGAGGCGTTCGTTAATGCAGACGTGGCCCGTACTTGTTTTTATACTGAAGTGTTGTATATAAATGTATTATTGGCATCGGTTTTAACACTATAGAAATAAAATGTGAGTTTTAAAGTATATGTCCCCTAGTACACCTTCAAAACCCTAATTCTTCTAGTTTTTCTAATTGTCTTATATTATCAGCGTGTAGTGTACATACTTGGGCCTAAAGGCCACTGGTTTATGCCTTTTTTAAATGTGATGTCAGCGGGGCTTTAAAAGTATGCAAAATCATGTCTAAAATGTAAAAAAAAAAACGTGCCCCCTCCAAAATCCATACCAGACCCTTATTCAAGATGGGTATCTGGTATGGATTTACCCTGTAGCCAATCAGCATCTCTCTTTTTCAAATCTTACCTGAGCAAACTGTAGAGAGATGCTGATTGGTTGCCCTGGGCAACTGCTCCAGTTTTGATAAATTCCCCCCAAAGGGTCTCGCCCCCTTCACATCGGAGCATCCCTCTTTCACGTCAGAAACACTCTTCACATTAGAGCAGGGGCAGCAAACCTCCGGCACCTCCAGCTGTGGTGAAACTACAAATCCCATGATGCATCTCTTCGGGAGTCGTGGCTGTGAGAATCTTGCAATGCCTCATGAGATTTGTAGTACCACCACAGCTGGAGGACCGGAGGTTTGCTACCCCTGCATTAGAGGCATGATACTGTGAAAATATCAAAGCGCCCCTGAGGAAGCCTGAATGCATCCTGATTGAGAGGCTACTCTATAGTATTCCTCTTCACCCCTCCGCTGGCTGCTACATGAAGGTTATGTTAGGAGGAAAGGGTAAAGGAGCTGGGCCAGCGCAGAGAGTAATTACAGTCCCAAAAGAGTGCAGAGGGCTGCGCCATGCCAGGAGGGAGGGGCTGTGTTGGAGAATTGACTCTTCTAAAAAAAAGTCAATTTTACTAGTAAGTTCAGAAGCACATTGCAAGTGTATACAAATATTTATGGAAAGCAAAATAGGGCAAGGAAGCAATTAACATACTTGATTTTTCTATATTTCTTCGTGCTATTTTTAGGTTGGTGTAGTTTCTCTTTAACTACACAGTATCTCTTATATAAATGTACCAGTTACAAAACTTCAGATATACGTCCTATTAAATGTCTTATCAAGGTATTTTTAGCATTGCTTCTCTTATGTTTTAATTTCTTTTCCCTCTTCTCTTGCTTGTTCTACCCTAGTGACAACTACATAGTGCGTGTGAAGGCTGTGGTTATGAGCAGAGATGACTCCAGTGGGGGATGGTTACCACATGAAGGCGGCGGAATCAGTCGGGTTGGAGTCTCTAAAGTTTACCCGGAGGGCAGTGGAAGAAGTGACTTTCTTATTCATGGAGAACGAATAAAAGATAAGCTGGTAAAAACTTTTTTTTCCCCCTCCTTTTAACCCTATTTAACATATGCATGCTATATGTTGTTGCTGGTTTATGTATGTTGGTTAGACTACAGGATCCGTTTATCTGCCATACAGTACAGGCTACACAGCCTTTCAACATTGCTAGTGCTGGGCTCTTCCTCGGGTTACCCTAGACAATGCAATCTGGCCGTACAATCAACTTTATCTTTACCAAAAAATTGTAATATGAGGACCCACTAATCTATCCAATCATTCTGTATCCAATCAGGCAGCTCCTTGCTAGTTGGTAGATCTTAAGGTGGTTGTACAATACAATTGTATTGCGCGTGCCATTCTTAGTCTAGTGTTAAATGGTTCCTAAACACTCACGTTTTTTTTGCATAGATCTACTGCTAGCAAGCAGTAGATCTATGCAAAAAGTAAAAAAAAAAAAGCGGTTTAAACTTACCCCTGTCTTCACTGCACGCTCCCGTCCGAAAAATGCTCGGGCGGCCGCATGCGCAGTTCGGACAGGAAGTGCCAGCAAGGACAGTAGTCAGCGCTGGATCGGAGACCCTCTGGAGAGAAGGCTGAAAAAGACAGGAAAGAAGAAGATGATCGAATTAAGAGACATCATTTAAGGTAAGTGCTTTAATTAACATTGGGGGGAGGGAAAAAAGTTTTTGACTTTAATGTCCCTTAATAATAACAATAAAGCAGGTTATGACAGAGGTATGCAGTAAATAAAGATTATATTGTAAAGCGCTACACAGACTGTTGGCGCTATATAAATCCTGATAATCATTATTATAGTTAATAATAATCTCTACCCAGGTATAATTTTCCATGCTGTCCAAGAGCTTGGGAGCCAGGATGAGAATATGTAGACTCCGCTTTCTCCATTTATTCCAGTACACCAGAAGGAGCGATATCCTTGAAAACAAAACCTTGCAGGGGGGCCTTGCCAATTTTGCCCAAAATGGGCTATTTTTTTTTTTGCTTACTGGCAAATAAATTAAAAAAATTAAACTCTTTCTGTGCTAGAAACCATTTCATGTCTCTGAATTTAAATCTGTGGTGGTCACGCCTCAGCATGCCAAACCTGATGAGTATGAATTAGGCTCCCATGATGCAATGTAGGTTTTTGGTGCTTGGCAGTGTGTGATGTAGTGGAGAGAGGTGAGCCCAGACTCAAAATCTTAAGGCAAGGAATTACTGTAATTAAATTTGCTGCTTTTCTGTTTATAAGCAAAGGTGATACACAGTACAGTACAGCACCACACGTGTACGGTTTGAACAGGGCACATAGAAAAACATACATTCCTCATTTATTTTAAACTGCTTACCGCTGCTTTAAGCTAGTTGGCCATCATCAGTGCAGTGTATGGAAGGAATGGCTTATATGGAAAAGGGTTTAGTGACTGACACAACGCTACAACCAGGCAGGTTATAGTAAAGTGGGCTAAAAGTAATCTAAATAACCCCCCAACCTAAAGTGTATTTCCAGGTTTGCAGTCACTGTATGTTTGTGTTCCCATTCACATGGCATACATAATTTTTTTTAAACATATTTCTTACCTTTTTAACGGTTTCTTTGAAGCAGGGTTTTACCTATAGACAAGCTTCTACTGCCTTTAAATAGATGGCAGTGTGGAGATAGGGAGACAGGCCGAGGGATTTTTTTTTTTTTTTAATTTTTTTTTTAAAGTGCATTAAAGCAAAACAAAATATTTTTAAAAAGCTCTGGGCAAAAAATTTAAAAAAAAAAAAAAAAAACTTACCCCACACACTTGTTTTCATGTAAGGGCTGAAATAAAGCATAATTACTTGCCTAATCCAGGCTGCTAGACCGGTCCCTGCAGCCTCTTCTTCCCTAGACTGCAGCAGTCTAAGGACTGCTGATGTCATCACATCTTATGTAGGTCTATTGACTTGCATTAAGGTGCCCATACACTGCACGATTATCGTACGATAATCGTATGCGATCGGTTTTTCGTACGATAATCGAGCAGTGTGAACGGAGACGTGCGACCGTTTCTACTGTACGGTCGCACGTCTTCTGTCGAACCAGCATGTTCGAAAACCAGCCGGGAATCGTACGATTCTCGGCTGGTTAGAACGGTGCTCGGAAGATAAATGCTGAACGGGCCGGTGTGCGCACGCGCACACTGCCCGTTCAGCATTGCGGTCATCGGAAGCCCGCCCCTCAGGGGGGCGTGCTTGCGATGATCGAGAGTGCGATCTGCCTGTCCAAGATAGGCAGATCGTACGTTTTTTTAATCCCTTTACAACCATCGCAAGACTAAAGTCTTGCGATGGTTGTAGAGTGTATGGCCACCTTTAGACGTGAGGATGCCGAAGGAAATTCCATTGCCGGGGTGGGGGGGGGAGAGAGAGGTGAACATTGACTGCCATGGGATGGAGGATCGAGCAAGTAAAATGGCTTTATTTGCATCCCCTAAACAAAAGAAGCACTTAACCCTTGCAGTTCAAGGATAGCCCCACTGCAAGGGTAAGTTATTTAAGGGTTAATTAAGGTAAACCCAGTTTCCCAGCCCCTCATAAACCGGGAGAACTTGGCAGGATTTTTCAGTTCTGGAGCTTCTTCAGCAAAGGAGCATCTAAAAAGTGAAGCTGCAATTTTGTAATATGTTATGTGAATGGGAACATGTAACAGATCTAAAAGAGGTGTTACCCCAATTTGGCTGCAAAAGTGGAAATGCACTTTAATTAGTGAGAAACACAGTAGAGTCATCTTAAAACATAAGGTAAGGTGATAAAACTATTTTTAGATCGACTACTTTTCATTTAAAAAACATCCTGGTTTTTCATTAGATCAGAATAAGCTGGTTATACACGGAGCGCATTGGAGCCGGTTGTTGACGAACTGGCTGCAATTCGCTCAGTGGGTGGCCCTGTCTGTTGCCTCCCACCCCAAAATACTTTGATTGGAAAATTGGCGACCGAACAGCGCTTGCATCCAATCCAATCAAATGCAGGTACTGTTTAGCTATTTGGACAGCCGGTGGGGCTGACTGTTAAAATACAATAGCCTCAGTGGGAGAGTCCTCCATCCACGCTGTAATTTAGCATGGATGGGAAAATCTGTTCTTTTTTTTCATTCGGACCAAAAAAAACAAATCTAGTAGTGTTATACGGAGCTTTTTTGTTGACATTCGACTTATTGCTTCACTTGAAGTACATGGCCAGTGTTGAAGTATGGTATATTTTCAGATTTCTTGCTGCTGGTAAGAACCTTGTTATTGTGAGACTGTTCAAAGCTGGCTGACTTGGAACACGTTTTCTTTTCTAATGTTCCATCTTCACCAGTGACGCCATATTGAAGTAAACTGCATTTCATTGTATTTATTGCTTTTTTCACATTTTAATGGCCCTTTGCTTCTATTGAGTAAACTGAGATCTAGCGACCTCTGTCATGTGCCATGAACAGTAAAAAGAATTTACCACCCCGATATACATTCTGAGAAGATGACATTATCAAGATGGAATGATACCAAATCTGCACTGGGAAAAGTCCTCTTTGCTAAAACAGAAATGGACTTTCCCAGAAAGTAAACCTTCCAGTGATTTACTTCTCGGTGACAGTTTAGTTGGAGGATCGCTGCAACAGCTGCATGATAGGTCATCCAACGGGACTATTAAATTGGGTGATAAAAACTGTATGTTGAAAGTACAAATATTGAAAAACGGATTCATACCATTTTATGTGGCTGTTTTCAGATGTCATTTTTGTTTCTGCAGAAGTACGCCTCTTATGTGTACAAAGTGTAAACTGAAAGGTCACAAAATTGCTAGAGATATTGCTGACAACTGTTTAATGGTTGTGTATGTAAACCCCAAATCCAAATAAGTGTCAGTGGCAGCATCCATGTCCAGTGTTTTTTTTAGATACGGTTTTTCAATATTTCTGACCTGATTTATCCTGCCAGGACAGCACTGCAAAGCTTAACCCCTTCATGACTGAGCTAGTTTTCAGGTTCTGTTCATAAATGACTGACACATTTTTTACATTGTTGCTGTGTGATTCTTCCACGGCAGTAATATACTTTCTTACTAAATGTACCCACACATATTATATATAGTTTTTTAGAGGACAGATAGGGCTATATAATTATATCACATATTTGTACCTAACCCCTCACTTAGTTTGAATAAAGTAAAAAAAATGAGGAAAAAAAACTAGAAGAAAACACTTTTTTCACAAGTTTTGATTATTATTATTTTTTTTAAGAATTTTTTTATATTAATTATAGTATAAAAAATATATTTATATATAATTTATATTTTCCTGATTTTGTTTTACACTTTTTATTTTTATTTTTTTACACTTTGTAAAAAAAATACTTTTTGTTTTCTTGTCAGTTTATATCAAGCAATCACTATGACAGCTTGATAACTTAAATTTTTTATTTTATTTTTGGCTATTAGGCTGATCCAAACTTAGGAACAGCTAATAATAACCTTAGAGACTGATCCTGACTTTAGTCAGATTCAGATCTCACTAAAAGCTCTTTGATCGTGCCTAGACGATCAGAACTGATACAATGTATATCTTTTGAGTGAAATGTATCCAAACATCGGGCTCTCGCTGTCAAAACAAATAGCAGAGAGGTGAGGTGAGTCACTGCTACCTCTCTGCTATTTTGAGCTGTCAAATACGGATCGCAAATTGCGGTCCTCTATTTGCATGTATCGGCTTCATTCTTTCATTACTGAAAGGAAGAAGCTTTTACAAAAAGCTTAATTTTTTCATTAATTAATGCCTCAATACTGAGACATTAATGAATGCCTGTTAAATGCTGAGAATCAGCAAATACCGGCATTACAAAGCCTGATATAACTCGTCACGTACAGTTTACGTGGCCAGTCATATAGGCACAAAGTGACAAGACGTACACTGTACGTCTCCCGTCACGAAGGGGTTAAAGGAGAACTCTGGGCAAATGCAAAAAAAATTACCCTTGTGATGGGGACTACCCCTGCACTGCAAGTACTTGTTT